GCACTTTAACCAGCTAAGCCCATTAAGACCATGGCATGCAGAAGTGCAGCTTGGCTGGAGCGATAGCACAGTGGGTAGGGCGTTTGCCTTACAAGCGGCCAACATGGCCTACCCGAGTTCGATTCTTTGGCCCTCTCGGAGAGCCTGGCAAGCTACTGAGAGTATCTCGCCCGCATGGCAGAGCCTGGCAAGCTACCCGTGACGTATTCGATATGCCAAACACAGTAACAATGAGTCTCATGATGGAGACATTACTGGGCCCGCTTGAGCAAATCGATGAACAACGGGAGGACCGTGATGATCTTAATATCCATCAAAACTCAATTTCAGGGGCCAGAGAAACAGTACAGATGTAAAAGAAGGTGAGCTCAATTGCATGCAGGTGAGCTCAATTCAATTCCCAGTACCACATGGTTCGCCAAGTATTTCCATGGAAACCTCCGAGGACTGCGGAAGTGACCTGGGTAATCTCTGGCAGTGAGGGCCCAAACAATGCCACAATCTTGGACCCTCAAACTGAATTGCAGGGCTGGAGCAATAGCACAGCGAGTAGGGCGTTTGCCTTGCATGTGGCAAACCCGGATTCTATTCCCAGCATCCCATATGGTCCCCTGAGCACTGCCAGGGGTAATTCCTGAGTACAGAGCCAGGAGTAACCCCTGTACATCGCCGGATGTGACCCAAAAAGAAAAAAAACCCACTGAATTGCAGTCCCGATTAGTAAAGAGTCGTGTTGGGTGTGCAGATCTGAACACCACTCGGGGGATCTCCCAAAATAACTCTCAATTGCAAAGAATACTACTGTTATTTCCTTTTTCTGATGGAAGAAACTGAAGCCCAGAGAGGTTTAATAAGTAATTAAAAGTCACACTGCTAGTAAAATGGTGCATCTGTGGTTGGTCCATAGTTGAGTACTTCCTGAGACAAAACCCATAATGGAAATTGTTGGATAACATTGGGTTGTCCTTGCTCCTCCCACAGAGAGTTTAGGTTTATTGAGCCACTCCCAGAACAGTGCCCCTGAGGCACACCCAATTCCATCAAGCACTAATAATCCTACAATAATAATACTCTTTTCTCTTTTCTTTATGTCATTTGCATGGTTTATTTAGTAATGTCCTTTTTGTATAGACACAGGAAGACAGTTCATGCTATGCTTTGTAATATGGGAGTTAATTGACTCCAAAATAACATTTATTCCTGGGCATACATATTTACTTGACTTAAGCCTCAATTGTCCTTAGTTCCTAGCACTCCAAAAGCAGGATCCTGACAAAGGGACTGGATGGACTCAAGGCAAACTATAAGTTATCCTGGCATCGAAAGGAGACAAGCTAAGTGCCATAAATATAATAAGTTAAGAACATGGTCATGGAACAAACTCTGTCATGATCCAAAAAGAAGTAACTGAATACAGACCCTGCTGGGGTTAGGAAAGACTAACCTGGCCTGAGGACTGTGGTCTGGAATATATAGTGAGATGTCCTCAGGAAGAGCTAACCTTTAAGCTTAATATATCTTTTACTGTGTTCATAAAAAATGACTAGAAATATCATAAGAAGTAAATTTACTATGATTGTTTAAATAGATTACTAGCTGAGGAAAGGAGAAAGCAATACACCCTGGATGGAATCCTGCTGTCGAGCAGATCTCCTAGTAATCTGGAGTGCTGAACCTTCAGATGAGATTTTGTCCTGGAGTTAATCTCCTAGAACTTCCCCTGAAGGAGTGGCTTTACTTCTGTTTGTTGTTATGACAATGTTCAACCCCACCTATGTGTATCCCACCCTTCATGATTTCTATATTACCTAGGATGAAGGGGGACTAGAAGTGAGGGACTTTGGGACTTTGGGGACTATAAGGAGGACTAGATGACTATGATGACTGGAAGTAGAGGACTATGAGACTATGATGAAACCAAGAAGAAAATGTAATGAGGTAGAGGACTTTGAGGCCTAAGATGATGGAACTATGATGACTGGGACTACAACCAAAACTATGACAATGATTGAGCTATAAGGGAGAGATCGAACTACATCGAGGAGGAGAGAGAAATAAAATGACTACCAATTGGCCTGGGCCACAGTCTCTGTTTCTCCGTTCACCCGTCCTTTGTTTGTCCGTCTGTCTGTCGCCATCGTCTGGCCTGGGGAGGCAGCTCTCCTGCATCAAATGCTCACATCCCGCACATGTGCCCACACTCTATCTTGGAAACTCACAGGAAATGTGAAAGTTTGCTTCTCAATGATTTTGTCTTAAAAAGTTATAGCCATGTGATATCCAGAATGCTCTCTAATCTCTCTTGGGTTTTTTAACTTCATGCGATTTTTTCATAAAATATTGGGGGTGGAGATGGTGGAAAAGATGTGCTAAAACTCAAATTGTTCCATTTTGCTGTTTATTATAAACTCCCTTACTGAGATTTGTTGAGGGAGATAGAGGGTGTTAAACCTCTAACTAAAAGCAGGTTTCTCAATTGACAAGGTTCTTATAATTTATGCTTTTCCTCTCCACCAAGACCGCCAACTAGAGAGAGCTATTTATAAGGTTGTTTATTCCACATTCTATTGTGCAGGAGGCATTTTTACATCACACTTTCAGTCCTTTTTTGCACACACTACAGTTAATGCTCAACGAAAGTTCAGCTGATGATAATGGTGAGGAGGACAACACTCAGAAACACCCAGTAATTTCTCAGCAGGGGGTTGGTGTGGCTAAGTATTAAGAATAGAACTTCAGAGACACATCAGACCTGGGTTCAAATCCCAATGCCATCATTTCTCGTCACGGATCCTTGAGCAAATAGCTCTCTTGGTGTCTCTGGTTTTCCCTGTGCCTAACAGAGATAAGAAGATAACTGTGAAAATTAAATGATATGAAACTTGTCAAGAAAAGGACAGAAGGGACTGGAGTGATAGCACAGTGGGTAGGGCATTTGCCTTGCACACGGCCAACCTGGGTTCAATTCCCAGCATCCCATATGGTCCCCTGAGGACCGCCAGGACTAATTCTTCAGTGTAGAGCCAGGAGTAACCTCTGTGCATCGCCAGTGTGACACAAAAATAATAAAAAAGAACAGGATAGAAGTTGCACTATCATTATCATCAATCTAAGAACTATGATTTCATCAAGTTCTAAATTATCTATAGACTTCAATGCCATCCAAAGCAAAGAAAGAACTCTTTACTCTGGATGACAGAACTGAGATTTGAAAATTCTTAGTGACAATACACTTTCATAGTTTTGACTTAAAAACACAAGCTGGTGGTCATAGATTATAAATGGAATCACAATTGACAATCCTAACTGGAGGCACCTGATGATTCTTGCCATTTCCTGACATAAATTATATCCAAACACTGCTGTACACTGAAGAGGTAAGTCCCTTTCAGCTCAGTGTGGCTCAACTATCAATGTCTGAAGACAACAGAAAGCAGGCCTAAGCTTGTTCTACCTTCTCATTATTGCTTCCACAGCCATAATTATCCAACATGACAGGTTTTTTTCTTATCCAACAGACAGTGCTAAGATGTCCACTCTTAGTTAGTCAGTAATTTAAAGTCTGCAATAGTTAAACTATAAACAAGAAAACAGTCACATGTGTGTATGGGGAGGGGAAGGGGACAAGCAACAGATTTTATCAAATAAAATCAAGTAAAATTACAAAAAAGTCATAGTTTTTATACTTCTGTAACAAACACAATTCTGATCTGTTAAATTCCCTGCTTTGGGTGGGTATTTTTTAGATTAAAATGAAATTTCTCCTTCAGTAATCAGGTTAAATATTTTCCTTAAGGGAATTTGCTTTCATTTCGTCATGTCTTTGATAATACATATTTGTATTTTAATGAGACTTTTCTATTTGGACCATTCTTTTAAAAGAGTGGTTCTCGATATTTTTTCAACATTCTGACCTTATTTCCTTCCAAGAGCTCCCATAGGACTGGCAACGTGCAGTGGCCCCAGTTAACGTGATTTTTCACCTGCGATACCCTTGATTATTATCCTGGGGACCGAGGGGGTCCATACAGTCACTCAGTTGAGAAATGGTGCTTTAAAAGACTGATAAACAGATGTTTACTTTTCACTTTATTTTTAAATTAACATTTTATTAGAGCACAGCACTTTACAAAATTACTTGTTGAATTTTAGGTATAAAATGGTCCAGCTCCAATCGCACCATCAGTGTCAATTTCCCTCCACCAGTGTCCTTAAAACTGTGACTTGGTAGTGAATTTAGTACCACTCAGGGAAGTGTTAGAAATAGCTTTGAGGGGGACTGGGAGCCCGGATCCTCGCGGTGGGCGTCACCGGGAGAGACCCCGGGCACCCGGGGCGGACGGCGCCCCCCGAAGCAGGGGAGGCGCCGAGGCTGCCGGGGAAGATGCCCCCGAGCAAGGGGAGGCATCGGGGCTGCAGGAGGAGGCGCCCCCGAACCAGGGGAGACACCGGGGCTGCAAGGGGAGGCGTCGGGGGTGCGGGGGGAAAACAAAAAAAATTAAAAAAAAAAAAAGAAATAGCTTTGAGACTAAGTGGCCAGAGCAGAAGTCCCTTTGGCCAACTAAGGTGATAACGGCTCTCAATTTATTAGCCTCTCTGTACTCATATTCCTGAGCAGTCTTCAAATGGCCAACTTCGCTAGTGGCAATTATAATGGTGGCAACGGTGAAGACGTCTAGGATGACGTCAATAGACTGCGCTGCCTGCCTGTGTCACGTGCTGTTCCCCACCTCTGACGTCTATCTGCTGCGTCCTCTGAGACGCACTACGTACTTACGTACTTACGTACTTACGTACTTACGTACTTACGTCGTCGACGTTGACTTCTCCCGCCTGAGGGAGACAGGCGAACGCTTGTGAAGACGCCTTCGACAGACGCGCCCGCTTCACGAGGCCCTCGCTCACCTGGGCTCCCGCAGTTGGGGACTGCACTGCACTGCCCACCAGCAGCCATTGCCAACTGTGCCCGTGAGACTCTAGTGAACACTGTCCCAGTCGCCATGGATGGTGGTCTGAGTGGAAGCGCAGCTGGAGTCCAGACCAGCCTCACCCTCCGGCTGACCATACAAGGCCTGAGCCTATGGAGCTACAACTCCCAGGAGAGGGAGTTTGCGAGGCGCCTCCAGGAGGGGAGCGGAGTGCAGGTCAGTATGCCGGCAAATAACTGGCCCGAGCGCAACCTCACGCTGAGTGGCAGTAGCGACGTGATCTTCAGGGCCTTGGTCATGATCATCGACATGATCCAAGATAATATCGGCAGCACACTGTCCCTCACCGAGGGCCCGCAGCCGTTCGTCACCCTGCGGCTGAGGGTGCCGGCCTCGCAGTGTATCATGCTGCTCCAGGAGGGCGACTCCAGAGTCAGGGATATCTGCGCTCACACAGGGGCCCAGGTGCGTGTGTGCTGCGGCTTGCCGCCCGGCGACAACGAGCTGTCCATGACGGGCAGGCCACACTGCGTAAGCGAGTGCATGAAGTTGATCTGCCAGGTCCTACTGGGGATGCTCGCTGGGATCCAGCAGGAGCGAGGCTGGGTCCTTGCCTACCAGCCCTCGCCCCGCCCAGCTCTCCAGAATGATGGTCACGACCAGGCTGCCGAAGGCTCTACCTCTGCTGGAGGCCACTTCTATACCACGGGCCACTCCTGCGCTGCCGCCGCTGCTGGCACCCCCAACACTGGGAGCGACTCCCAGGTCACAGGCTACCCGCAGCCCCTGCCCCACCCGCTGGAGCCGCCACCCCCACAGCCAGGTTCCAGCCACGGGCTGTCCGCCATGTTTCCATTCTACGGGCCTGAGGAGCAGCCAGCCAGATCCTGCAGCGGGGGTGCCAGCAAAGCACCTGAGGAGATCACCCACGAGCTCATGATTCCCAACAGCTTAATTGGCTGCGTCATCGGCTTCCATGGAGCCAACATCAGCGAGATCCGCCGCATTTCTGGTGCCCAGATCAAGATCTTCCCGAAGGAGGAAGGCAGTTCTCTGAGACTGGTTAGGATGACTGGTACACTGTCCAGTATCATCCTTGCCCACTCTATGGTCATTTATAGCCTGAACAACAAGAGGCATTAGGGGCGCTTCACTCGGAACCGTTCCGCTAAGTTCCCATCGCCCTATTGGTCATTTTTTATCACTGTTTGCAGTTTTTAGATAAGTAGTGTTTATCTCTTTGCTAAGATTTTGAGTATCTTATTTAGAATATCTTATTCTGTGTTTAGGTGTTAATGCCAAGATCCATTCTTCATTTGATTAGCTTTTCCCTGTTTCAGTTTCACTTTGTTTGGAAAGAGCATAGGGTATAAAGTACTTAAATTTCAAGAGCAAACATCAACTCTTTACAAATGACCCAACACTGTATGAGGGTTCCAGTTGCTTCAAACCTTAAACTATACTTTGTAATGTTAAGTGTTTTCATTTTTGCAAATCTAGTCAATGTGTAGTAGATATTTACATTTCTCTGATTTGTTATAAAGTTGAGTACTTTTTTGTTTATTGGATGTTTGGATATGCTTTGTATGCAGTTAAAACTTTTGCTTATTTTCCTACTATGTATTTGCTTATTTCTAAGAGCTCTTTATTTGAAATGAAAGGTTTGGGGGAAGGGGTGTGTAAGTTATATTTGTGTAAGTTGCACTTGTCCTTTCTCATGTAAAAGTTTGCTTTTTATCTCTTAATGGAATATTTTGTTAAATATACTTTTTCATTTAAAATGTAAACAGGGGTGGGGATGTGGCTTAGTAGAGTGCCTTGCATGAGTGAGGTTCTAGATTTGATCCCTAGCTCCATAAAAATAAGTAAACAACATAAATGTAATAAAGTATGTTACTTTTTAAATTATTTTTATACTTTTTATGCCTCCTTCAACTACACCTGTCCCCATGTGCAGTGGTATTCTGGGAAGCTACCTCTGAATAATAAAGTCTTGGGTCTCTGGTAGTAGTAAAACCTGAAAAAAGTTAGGCACAAGGAGAAAAATTAAGTGGGTGAAAAGGGAATGGAAGGGGAAAAGGTCCCTTTTATAGGAATTCTTTTTTACTTTCTTTTTCTTTATTATAAATTTATTTATTGAACCACCGTGAGATCAGTTACAAAGCTTTTGGGTTTAAGTCTCAGTACACCCGTCCCTTCACCAATGCCCATTTTCCACCACCAAAAACCCCAGTATATCCCCCATTCCACAACCTCCCCCTACCTGTGGGGCAAATGATTTCCACATTACTCTCTCTTTATTTTGATTACATTCAATATTTTGACACCAGACCCACCATTATTATTTGGAATTTTACCCCAACACTCAGATCTGTCAAAAAGGCAACCATAGATAATTTGTTTTCTATTGATGGTTACAAATAACATATGATGTCACGTGGCCGCAGTAGTGGCCATGTGATTTTGGAATCCCAAAATTTTAACAATTAAATCTGTAGGAATTTCTGCCCAAACCTGCTAGGTTCCGAGATTTGTCTCTGGGATCATGGCTATTAAGCAGCTTGATCAGGATCCAGAGATGCTATTCGTGGGTGGCAACTTGGGGTCTTGTTGGGGTGGGGAGGAAATGGCCGGCTTCACCCCCATCCCGTGAGGTCCCCCGTGTCTTGTCACTGAGAGCCCAAAAGAGTGTTGTCCCTCTGCCTGCTCCCCTTGGGAGCTCGGTGGCTGCCATCCAGTCAGGAATTTATAGGAAATTTAAGGGGACCCATGATAGGAGAATGTTATCAAAGGTGGACTAAGTGCCATTTTTTTTTTTTTTGCTTTTTGGGTCACACCCGGCGATGCACAGGAGTAACTCTCTGGACTTAGGAATTACTCCTTGAAGTTCTTGGGGTACCATATGGGATGCTGGGAATTTAACCCAGGTCAGCCACATGCAAGGCAAACATCCTACCTGCTGTGCTATCACTCCGGCCCCTGTGTCATTTTTATTAACTAGCTCCTTACATATGGAAAAAAAGTTGGACATATCAGAAAGAATCAGTTGAGAATATGTGGGGAAAACAGTGTGCACATTAGCATCTCAGAAGGCAAATGTGCTGATAGAATTTCCACTTTGCCTGGACCCACTAATGCCATCTTCAAAGCCTTTGATATAATCATTGATAAACTGGAAGGAGATTATCTGCACAATACTATAGCTACTAGCTGACCCTGAACAGAAGCTCTCAGCTAGCCAGTATGACTATCTCACCGGGAAATGTGGTTGTGAAATCAAGGAAATACAATGAGAGAGCATAAGTGACTTATAAGAGACTTGGTCAAGGGATATACTTCCCCACTCAACTGATCAGGCTATTACAGGTGCTAGAATTTGACAAGGCATTAATGTGTATGTCAAACAGACCTATGAGATCATGTTGGAGTTGCTCAACCCCCAAAGCCATCTTGGCAGGTAGTCAGTACAGGCTCAGAATAGATATCAGTAGTGTGGGTTTATCTTTTAACCACTCCATCTTTTGTATTTCAACCTTTATGTGGAGGTGTTCACACTAGAAACCTATGCCACTCAATGACTATATGCCATTCCATAGCCACAACTCTCTGGAGATAAAAGGTCAGAAGCAGGTTTGGATGCATCAACTAAGAGACCTTGGAAACTTGCCATTCTAATCATTTTAATTGGCCATATGATGGGGCATCAAGATGCCACAATCAAATGATCCACCAGGTATCTGGGGCACAAATAAAATTTGCAAGTCCGGTGGAAGGATCTGCAGATAACATTTCCATTACTGGATCTGAGGTCAGCATGAGACAGTAAGGCTTTCCTCTGAGACTGGCTGTTGTGTTTTTTTTAATATCTCCACTCGACTCAACACACAACTCAACAACACATGATACCATAAGATACATAAGTGGAGAAATGAAACGGTGGGCTGTGGCACAGGCAGGATGCAGGGGCAGCCTCTGGTGGATGGGGAGTGGCCTCCTCAGGAACCTTCTGGGTCGACAGGCAAAGCATGGGCAACAGGCGAACTCCCCTACATCGTCCGATCTCTCCCTTTATGGCGCAGTTGTAGTCATTGTTACGGCTATAATCTTGGTCATCAGAGTTCCATCTGCTTCATCTAGAGGACTCAAAGTCTTCAAAGTTTCAGTTTTTTCCTCGTCTCCTTGTCTTCTCTTTGTTACTGTGCTCTTTTTATCTTCTTCCTTTGTGCTCTGCTTCTATATGTGCCGTTGTGCTCTTCTCTTAAGTCAGAGCTCTGTTTTCTGTTTGTGCCATTGTGCTCTGTCTTGTAGGTCTGTCTCCCGTCAGAGCCATTGTTTTCTCCTTCAGACTGCCTGTCTCCGTCTCTGTCTCTCTCTCAGAGACCTCGTAACCTCATAACCTTGTCTCTTCATCATTGTAACTTCATAGCTTAGTAACTTCACTATCTGACTCTCTGACTTGACTTCGGTGACTGACCTTCTTCTGTGCCTTCTCACGTTCTGACTGACTTCTCTTAGCGTTCTAACCTTCTTTGCCCTCTGATGTTCTTCCACCCGTTCCAACCATTCTAACCATTCAAACCTTGTTGACGGTTCTGACTTCAGAGACTGACCTCTCTCACCTTCCAACTTCATTGATTGATTCTCTATGCATTCTACCTTCTCCTGATAACTCACCACCCCAGCCCCTTACAGCATACATTATATAGAAATCATGTAGGGTGGTGATAAAAAGGTGGGGCTAAACATTAACAAATCAGCAAAGAGAGGTAAGGCCACTCCTCCACATATCAACTCAAGGACAAAATGTCATCTAAGGAAATTACTCCAGATTACTAGGAGATCCGCTCAAGGGTGGGATTCCATTTGGTGTGTGTTGCTTTCTTCTTTCCTCAGCTAGTAGTCCACTTAAATAGTTGTAGTAAATTTACTTCTTTTAATATTTCTAGCAATGTCATTTTGTATGAGCACAGTAGGAGATATCAAGCTTAAAGTTTGGTTCTTCCTGAGGACATCTCACTATATATTTCAGACCACAGTCCTCAGGCCAAGTTAGTCTTCCTAACCCTAGCAGGGTCCTTATTCAGTTATCTCTTTTGGGTCATGACAGAGTTTGTCCATGACTATGCTCTCATAGTTAAGTATTATGGCGATTGGCCTGGCCCATTTCGATGCCAGGGCAGCTAAGAGCTTGTCCTGGGTCCATCAGTCCCTTGTCGTGACCCTGCTCTTGGAGTGCTAGGAACTAAGGGTAACTGAGGCTCAAGTCAAGTAAATATGGATGACCAGGAGAAAATATTATTTTGGAGTCAATTAACTCCCATGTTACATAGCATAGCAGCAGTTGTCTTCCTCTGTCTATACAAAAAGGACATTGTTAAATAAACAGTACAAATGACATAAAGGAAAGAGAAGAGCAGTATAGGATTATTAGTTGTGCCTCAGTTTCTCTGTTGTAGGAGTGGCTCAATAAACCTTAAGCTCCCTGTGGGAGCAACAAAGAGTTATCCAACGAGGGGCAACGTGGAAAGCAGCTAAAATAATGCAGTCATATATAATACTTTCTTGCTGTTCACCACTCTTGATTCAACTGTAGTTTCTGAAGAGTCAGCACTTCTACATTTTAAATAGTCTATAAAGTTTCAGCTTCTTTACATTTTGTTGGCCACTCCTGAATTTTACATTGTTTTAATTCCTTTCTCCATTCAGGTATTAGAGCTGAGTTCTGTATTTGGTTTTATAAGCATCTCCCTATTTTTTTATTTGCTCATGGAACTAAAAGTGGAGTATCAATACAGTTCCGTTTAGTTCTATAATATTTATAATATTCGAAAAAATAATATAAAGATGGATTGGAAAATGTTTTCTTCAGGTAAAGTTTTCCTCACAATCTTCACTGTGTCTGACAATCACACGAACCTTGCAATTCTTAGGTATATCTGTTTGCCTTATTCTCCCCTAATGAAAGCCTCGAGGACAAGAACATTACATTCTATTGGTAGTAACTGTAGAACAACTTATTGGAGGCCAAAGAACTGACATGTCTTGGTTTGCTACTGCACGCCAAGTACTGTACCCAGCTTCCAAAAGATATTAAGTCATTAATCCTAATAATTTTCAAGGGACTCCACGCCAGGCTATTTTCA